TCTTTTTTTTTTTTTACTCAAAGACACCAACAGTTCTGTCAACTTCTGAAAGGTCTTACAAGCACATAAATAATCTTTTTTCTTTTTCCTGGAGGCCTCCCATCCCATAGCTTCTGTTCTACTCCAGTCTGGATGGTTTTTCTTTAGGTACTAGAGGCCCAGTACATGAAATTAGTGCATGGGTGTGGTCCCTAGGCCTGGCCAGCAATCAGGGCCAATCAGGGCCTTCCAGCCGCCAGCTGGGGCCTCCCTTCCCTGGCTGCCGGCTGCTGACTAGGGCATCCCTTCCCCAGGTGCTGGCTGCCTGCTGGGGCCTTCCTTCCTTCCTTCCTTCCTTCCTTCCTTCCTTCCTTCCTTCCTTCCTTCCTTCCTTCGTTGCCACCCCCTGGTGGTCAGCGCATGTCATAGAGAGTGATAGAACTCCTAGTCTCCTGATGAACTCCCACAGGGACACTTTGCATATTAGCCTTTTATATATATAGATTAGAGGCCCGGTGCACAAAAATCTGTGCACTTGGGGGGGAGAGGGGGGTCCTTCAGCCTGACCTGTGCCCTCTCACAGTCTGGGACCCCTCAGGGGATGACCACCTGCTGGCTTAGGCCCGCTCCCTGGGGGGATTGGCAATCAGACATTCCTCTGGCAGCCCGGCAGCCCTCGGGGGATGTCCACTTGCCAGCGGGGAGCAGGCCTAAACTGCAGTTGGACATCCTTAGCAGTGCTGAGGAGGCAGGAGAGGCTCCCACCACCACCACTGTACTGGCAACCATCAGCCTGGCTTGTGGCTGAGCAGAGCTCCTCCCATGTGAGAGCACCCTGACCACCAGGGGGCAGCTCCTGCATTGAGCATCTGCCCCCTGGGGTTCAGTGTGTGTCATAGTGACCAGTCATTCCCAATCCTTCTGCTGTTAGGGTCAGTTTGCATATTACCCTGTTACTATATAGGATAGAGGCCTGGTGCTGGGGCTGGCTGGTTTGCCCTGAAGGGTGTCCCGGATCAATGTGGGGGTCCCACTTGGGTGCCTAGCCAGCCTGGATGAGGGGATGATGGCTGTTTGCAGCTGGTCACACACCCTTCAGGGTGGGGGTCCCTACTGGGGTGACTGGCCAGTCTGGGTGAGGGGCTGAAGGCCGTTTTCAGGCTGGTGGGTGACTGAAGCTCCCAACCTCTCCTTTTTTTCTTTTTTTCTTTTTTTTTATTCTGGGATTTATTTACCTTCTATGGCTGTCACTGGAACTGAGAGCCGGCTTTAGCTCTGAGGCTTGGCTCCAGCTCTGAGACCTTGGCTGCTGAAAGCAGGTATCTGGGTTTGTTTGGCTTCTATAATTGAAACACTGTTGCAGCTCCAGCTCTGAGGCCTGGCTGGCTGAAAGCAGGTTTCTGGGTTTGTTTAGCTTCTATAATTGCAACATTGTTTCTTAGACTGCAGCTCAGAGGCCGGCAGCGGCAGGCGGGGAACCTTGGCTTCCTCCATCACTGGAGCAAGCAAGCCTCCTGTTCGCTTCAGCTGCCTGGCTGCCAAACAAACACAGATACCTGCTTTCAGGTTTTTATAACATCTAAGAAGCTCAGTGAGCTCTAATTAAGATGAACTCAAAGTGACACACACTGAGATATTAAAGTCAAATCTTCAAAAGACAAAGAGAATCTTGAAAGCGGCAAGAAAGAAGCTCATCACATACAAGGGACACTTAAAAAGATTAGCAGCAGGTCTTTTATCAGAAACTTTGGCATTCAGAAGGCAGTGGGCTGATATGATCCAGCAATTTCAATTCTGGGTACATACCCAAAAGAATTGAAAACACAGACTTGAAGAAATATTTGTGCACCTATGTTCATAGCAGCATTATTCACAATAACTAAATTGTGGAAGCAACTTAAATGTTCATCAAAACAGATAAATAGATAAGCAAATTGTAGTTTATACATACAATGGAATATTATTCATCCTTAAAAAGGAAGGAAATTCTGGCAGATGCTGCAACATGAATGAACCTTAGGGACATTACGCTAAATGCAATAAGCCAGTCTCCAAAAGACAAATGCTGTATGCTTCCATTTATATGAGGTACTTAGAGTATTCAAAATTATAGAGACAGAAAGTAGAATGGTAGTTGCCAGGACTGGGGCTATGGAACAATGAGGAGTTATTGTTTAATGGGTATGGCTTTTCAGTTTAAAAGGTGAAAAGAGTTATGGAGATGAATGGTGGTGATGGTTGCACAACTTTATGAATGTATTTAATACTACTGAAATGTACACTTAAAATGCTTAAGATGGTAAATTTTACGTTATGTCTATACATCAAAAATTGAAAAACCAGTTAAATATGGCTTGTAAATACAAAACATAAAACTATAAAAAATGTTAAAGCAAATAAAGGAGAAAATCTTTGTGACCTTGGGTTAGGCAGAGGTTTTTATATAGAGTACAAAAAAAACATGAACCATAAAAGACAAAAGTGCTTTTACTTCAAAACTGAAAAGGTCTCTTCCAAAGACACTGTTAAGAGAACGAATGCACAAGCCACAGACTACGACAAAATTTTATAAAGCACATACTAGTATTTGGTCAAATATGTGCTTTACACGACAAAATATCTGTCAACAGGCCAGCTGGACTCACCAGTGCACGAATTCGTGCACTGGGCCTCTAGTATCTTAATAAAGCTGTTAAATAAAACAGATTAGGATATTCCATAATATAATAAGCATCAAATTGAATGGCAAGAGACCAGTGTTTACAGGTGGCACCTCTTCCAGCCCCCTCCCCCTCTTAGTTCCCTTTTGCACTCCAAATTTGGGGGGGCGGTTAGTGGCGCTTGGTGCTGCCAACACTCTGTAGAGTCCTGCCACCTCTAGTGGTCTGACTCAAGCTAAAAGAGAAGAGGCTGGGGGTGGGAGAAAAGATTTCTGAGTCTAAACCATGGTTTGTACTGGCTACTGTACTACTGAGAGGGGTGAAGAGACTGAGAGCAAAGGAAATTTTAAACATGAACACTAAGAGATCTCATCCTTCCAGGCCTGGGGCTGGCCTGTGAGATTAGATGCTCTGACTTCTTACCTGTTTCTGGAGCACAGCTCTTGGTGCCCTGCAGGAGGCAAGTGAGGCCTATAGTGGCCTGTTTGAGGGTACCTGTGTGCTGTCAGTGCCCATGTGGAACAGTTGTGCCATAAGACTTTGCCAAGTATGTTGTACAGCTGCGGAATGTGTCACATAGATGGAGAGTGTGCTTAAGAATCCATTTTAATTGCAAACATTTCATTTTCAACCACCCTCCCCCCACCAAATCCAATCTCTTTTTCTATCATTGGTAGTTCTGAACATTACATATTTTTACCATGAAGTCAAAATGTACCTAAGTATATGATTGTGAATAGTAAACTAGGTGGCAGAATTGGGTATTGGCAAATGTTTTTTCATTTTCATTAGTGTGTGTATTTTTAATATAAAATGGGGCTATAAAACATTAAAGAAAGTAAAGACATTTCAGTGAACAAGTATCAATGATTTAATTTATAACAATCTGTATATATAAAAGCCTAAGCGACCGTTCAACCATTCGACCGGTAGCTATGACTGCACACTGAGCACCAGGGGGCAGATGCCCCGACCGGTAGGTTACCTTGCTGCTGGGGTCCGGCCGATCAGGACTGGGTGAGATGGGCCAGACATGCCCTGAAGGCCTCCCGCGGTCCCTTCCCCGCCCCAATGGTGCACCAGTGGGGTCCCTCGGCCAAGCCTGCGCCCTCTCACAATCCAGGACCCCTCAGGGGATGTTGGAGAGCCGCAGGCCAGGCCAAGGGAACCCACCTGTGCACGAATCCGTGCACCGGGCCTCTAGTTATAAATAAACTGATTGAATTTTCTTATGCTAACAGCTTCTTTTTAAACAAGTCAATTTCTTATTGATGACAACTGAATGGTGTCTTTCATTTTATCATACTGTAGCTCCATTCATTCACTGTACTTTTCTAATCGATTTTACATGCAAGTACGGTACATGTCTTTAATGTTGTCTTACTACTCTAGTATGTTTGCTATCAAAATTTATGTCAACAAGTTTTAACTTTCTCAAATTGACACCAATTTGTGCTAAAATACCACCAAAATCCTATTAAAAGTATAGTTATTTAATTATTAATATTAGTAATGATGTAAATATTAATAACGTATTAATATGATAATACAGCCTAGCAAGAATTTTTCCTTTGTTAATTATTCTCTAACAGCTCATTTTTAATAGTATGGTCCCTTTGAAGACGATTGGGAATTTTGTGGGGAAATGTTTGAGTTGTCACAGTGATAGAGGGATGTTTTTAGGCCAGCTGTCCTGATGCCTAAGTTGAGTAAATCCACCAGATCTAAATATTTATATTTCAACCCTTGCCTTAACACCTGTCCACAGTCCTTGGTGCTTCCAACTCCTGATTTTCGTGGAGGTCTAGGGGGGGAGTTACCTTTTGCAAGCATTTTAAGTTGTAGCTTCCCTTCTTTACCAAGTCAGCGTCTGTCTGCATTGACTTCTACCAGTAAACAGTGTATCCTCCCCTTCTCTCGTTCACAGTGGGTTGTTGTTGTTTTTTTATTTCCTTTGCTGTGGGTGCCAGATAATACCTCCTAGGGTGTGGAGATGTTTCAGGTGGTTTTGTTGCTGACTGGCTGGGGTACTGGCAATGAATACCTAGTTAGGGCTACATCTGATAAGCTCACTGCCTGCCCTGGGAGCCCACCCAGAATTGCCAGTGGTCGGCAGAGTGACCAGTTCACCCAGCCTGGCATGAACTCAGTGTAAACAGTACGTGTAGACACTAGTATTTCCCATAGCTGAAAGTTATGTGTAATCTTATTCATTACTATTTCTCAAGCTGAGTTTTTTGAAACTAATTTGCATTAAAAAAAAATAGCAGTAAAAGCAGTGCCATGGCTCCTATCATTTAAAGGAAGAACACATTGGATAAATTGTTTTCTTACTGCATGTTCTTTTCTTCGTATTAACAGATATTTTGGTAAAAGGTCTCAGTGGGATTGTAGAGGGGCGTCAAATCTTAATGAACTTCATCAGTTATTAAGTGACATAATGATTAGAAGGCTAAAGACTGACGTTTTAACCCAGCTGCCCCCTAAAATCAGACAGCGTATTCCTTTTGACCTTCCATCAGCAGCAGCCAAGGTGAGAACCCTTTTTGATTGAAAGTCTTATTTTAAAATCATTTTAAACTATACTAAGAAAGGTTGTACATATTTCATATTGTACAGGAGGAAAAGTCTGCTTTCTTAAAATAGATTTAATTAATAGAGCATATGTATTGGCTTTGTATTATTTTGAGAACCGAGCAGGAAGAATTTAACTTTAGTCATATAATGTGAAAAGATTCAGCATCCTAGTGATTAAAAAGTGTATTTCTGCTGAATATAGAAAAAAAGTAATTCAATTACAACGAAGATTTAGTATTAAGAATTCTGAGTTTCTGTAGGGTGTGAAGCAAGGGAAGTTGTGTTTCTTCTTCTAGGATTTTTTTATTTTTAAGTATAAGTAGCTTTAAAATAACTTTGATACATATAAGCATAACCAGTGGACATAAGACATTGGGGGGTAGGGGAGGCTAGGGGACTGTCTAGGGCGGGGGGATAAAATGGACACATATGTAATACCCTTTGTAATACTTTAAGCAATAAAAAAAAAAAAAAAAAAAAAAAAAAAAAAAAGAATCGGGGAGGAAGAACAAAAAAAAAAAAAAAAAAAAAATAACTTAGATACAGCCCTGTTCTTGCAATCTTAAAACTCTGTGATCATGTAAGATGTGAAGTTAAACATATCAGAAAGCCAAATTGTATTTAGCAAATCTTTATATACATTTTTGGTAGTGCAATGCTTATATATTCTCTGAAATTTCTTCAAATCTTGGCATAACTTAGTTGACAAAGATTATTTATTGCATTGTTTTATTTTGAAATGTTAGAGTAAGCATTCTATAAACATTGAGCAATATGTTATTGGAAAAATAAGAATAATCCAATTTCCTTTATCCACTATTTTAGCATTTGAAAGAAAAATAAGAGAATGTATGATTATATTATATTTTTATTTAACTAATATCCCCCAAGTCTTTTGTTTGATTTTATTTAAGTAACATCATATCTTTTTATAAAAATACTTTGCTACCATATACATCTTCACTGTGCTTTTTTCTTATGTATTTAAATTTTTATGTTTACTTTACAAAATGTTTTCCCTTCAGAGGACGCTGCAATTGTTTGGTTTATGATGTTAGCAAAGGTTTTCACCTACAGCTTATCGTTAGTTTCTGCCATTGGTGTGAACATGTGACTAAGTTGCCTCCATGTCTTTAAATGAACACATTGGCATCTTAGGGAATTTTCTTTTTATATTTTTATATGTATAAAAGAAGTTAGGACATGATTCATTACTGCATTAATTGTTCTGTTCTTTATGCTTCATGTCTAAACACTGTTGCTTTCTCCCACATAGGAATTGAATGCCAGCTTTGAAGAGTGGGAAAAATTAATGAGAGCTCCAAATTCCGTTGCCACTGAGACTGCTATGGGGTTGATTACTCGCATGTTTAAACAGACTGCTATTGCCAAGGTACTCATTGCTGGGCCATCATGTGTGTGTCTTGATACAAATTATTTAATGTACTTTGATGGTTTTACTTAAGCAGCTTATTTGCATATTGTAACATTTCTGCCATTTTATTTTTTAACTCTTTATAATGAAAAACATTTAGACAATTCAAAGTAAACAATAGTATATTGAACACCATTATACTACTATCCATATATTGACTCTTTCCAATAAAAGGGAACACTTTGATGGTATTTTATACTTTAAAGGACATACATATATTCATCTTCATTATCAGCCTTTTCTATGGTTCTACTGCATAATTGCTACAACTAATCTTTTTAATTTCTCAATTATTTTTTATCGGTATTATGTTTTTAGTTCCCTACAGACATAAACGTGCGCATGTTCTGTTTGTCTAAAAAGTGTTAGAGTTTTGGTCCTGGCCAGGTGGCTCAGTTGGTTGGAGCATTGCCCCGTACCCCAAAAGACTGCAGGTTCAATTCTTGGTCAGGGCACATACTTAGGTTGCTGGTTCAATCCCTGGTCGGGGCACATTTGGGGTGCGCACCCGATCAATGTTTCTCTCATATTGATGTTTCTCTCTTCTCTCCTTTCTCTCTCTCTAAAGTTAATACAAACTTATCCTCGGGTGAGGATTAAAAAACATTTTTTTAAGTGTTAATTTTTAAATCTCTGTGTGCCCATGAATTAGACTCATCACATGTTGTTGTTTCCACCAGCATGTGGAACTTAAAAACATCCTAAGGAGTGCTATCCCTCTCCAATTCTGAAATATTTTATAACATAATTTTTAAAGCGAGGTTTATTAAGGTACAATTTACATACAGTGAAATTTTTTCTTTTAAAATGTAGAGATTGATGAGGCTTAACAAATCCTATATAATAAAAGGCTAATATGCAAATAGACCAAATGGCAGAACACCCGGAACAACTGAACAATGGGTCGCTATGATGTGCACTGGCCACCAGGGGGTGTGCGCAGAACATGGCGGGCACCAGCCGTGGTGGGATGGTGGAGCAGGTGAGCGGGGGCACCAGACCAGGGCAGGGCACTGGTTGCTGCCATCAGGGCGAGCCTCTGGTGGTTACTGAAATTCTTTGCTCCCACGCGTTGCAGTCCCGCCTGGCACTCGCACCTGCTGCTGGCGCTGGAGCCGCCGCTTGCACCCATTGCCAGTGTCGGCCCCGCTCGTACCCGCAGCTGGCACCCGAGCCGCCGCTCGCACCCGCTCCTGGTGCCTGGCACTGGTCCTGATTGCTCAGCGCCATCAGTGGGTGCAAGTGGCAGCTGCAGGCCCTGATCGCCCCTTAAGGCTTCTCCACCTCCCCCTGCTCCTGAGGGATGATTGGGGTAGCAGTCGCCACTCGCACTCGCTGCTGGCAGCAGCCCCAATCTCTCCATGCCTTCAGTGGGTGTGAGTGGCGGCAGCAGGAGAGGGGCTGCCTGCAGACAGGGGACGGGGGGGGGGGGGAGGGTGGCGGGGGGGGGGGGCCTTGGTGGGAGGGGCCAGGCAAGGTCACGGAGGATAGGCCAAGACCTGCCCCTGTGCATACTACAGCCTCGTGGCCCCCAGTTCCTTTCAAGGTGCACGAATTCGTGCACTGGGCCCCTAGTGTGTGTGTGTGTGTGTGTGTGTGTGTGTGTGTGTGTATTCAGGTAATTACCACTACAATCAAGATAAAGAATAGTTTTATTATGTACCGTTTATTTTTCAATTAATTTCTAAAATAGTTTCCTTAAAATAGTTTCCTAAAATAGTTTCCTTATGTACCTTTTATTTTTCAATTAATTTCTTTCTTTTTCTTTCTTTCATTTTTTCCCATCACCATTTATCTCTCCCATACCCTCTTCTACTCCACCCACCCACCTCTCCCTGCAATCACCAGACTGTTGTCCATGCCCATGAGTTCTTTCTCTCTTTTTCTTTTTTTTTGCTCAATTCCTCCACTACCACCCCTAACAGTCCTCCCACCCCCAGAGCTGTCTGCCTGCTCTCCATCTATGAGTCGGTCTATTTAACTCAGGGGTCCTCAAACTTTTTAAACAGGGAGCCAGTTCACTGTCCCTCAGACCGTTGGAGGGCCGGACTATACTTTAAAAAAATACTATGAACAAATTCCTATGCACACTGCACATATCTTATTTTGAAGTAAAAAAACAAAACGGGAACAAATACAATATTTGTATTTGCATGTGGCCCGCGGGCCGTAGTTTGAGGACCCCTGAGCTAACTTGTTAGTCCCTCATGTGCCTTTGCAGTCATTTCCCTCCCATGCAGCCCTCGTCTTGGGCAGTCACAGATCTGCTTCTATCACTCTAGTTTTGCTTTTCCCAGAATGTCACAAAAATGGAGTCACATAGTAAGTAGCCTTATGTCTAGCTTCTTTCATTTAGCATCAATAAAGCTTTTGAATGTTGACAGGTTTTTGCATGTCATTAGTTTTTTCACTTTTATTGCTGAATAATTTTCTAATATATGGATACCACAATTTTTAAAAATTTCTTTACCAACTAATGGCCATTTGGATTGCTTTTAGTTTCAGCTATTATGAATAAGCCTGTTATAATCATTCATGTATAGATATTTGCATGGACATTGTTTATTTTCCTTGAGTAAATAACTGGAAATGGGACATCTGGGTAATATTTTAAATTTTAGTTTATCTTTATAAAAATCTGCCAAATTGGCCCTAGCCCCGTGGTCGGCAAACCGTGGCTCAGGAGCCACATGCGGCTCTTTGGCCCCTTGAGTGTGATTAGTTGCCTCCTGCAACTGGGGATCGAGCCCACAATCTGGGCATATGCCCTGACTGTAAATTGAACTGTGACCTGGTTCATAGGTCGATGCTCAACCACTGAGCAACACTGGCTGGGCTGTTTTCAGTTTTCTTGAGTATATTTTGTTAGATTTATTTTTAGGTATTTCATGTCCTTTTAAGCTCTTGTAAATAGTATTTCTTAAATTTAAATTTTTACATTTTTATTTTTAAAGATACAATTATTGATTTTTGTATATTGACCTTTCCTGAACTCATTTATTAGTTCCTATGCTTTTTTGTAAATTCTTTGCAATTTTCTGCATAGAGTATCATTTTGTCTACACATAAAGACACTTTTGTTCTTTCCCAGTAATCCATATGTCTTTTCTTTGCCTTGCCTGTTGCACTGAAGGCACACAATATCATTTTTAATAGAAGTGATAGGATTGAACAGCTTTGCCTGTTGCCAATCTTAGGTAGAAAGCGTTCGGTCTTTCACTATTAATTATGTTGTTATCTTTATGTTTTTCATAGATGCCCTTTCTTAGATTGAGAAAATGTCCTCCTTTTCCTTGTTTGTTGAGAGGAGAGATGAGACATATAAAATTCTTTCCTTTGGCAGATTGAGTTAGGAAGAAGGTAGCTTCCATAAAAGTGGATAAGAAGAAAGCCAAAATTTAACAAAATTATAAAAGCTGAGCATGGATTGTCATGACATTTCAAATGTTGGGGGTCCTGGCATAGGCAGTCCACCTGCACACACAAGCTTTACTTCCACTGGCCTCTACCTGGTGCTGACCAGGAGATCAGAGAGCATCCCGTTGGTGGAGTATAAGCATAATCCCATGCTTATTTCCAGGACTCTTTTCTCATATTAAGCAAAAGCCTTAAGCCATTGTGGGAGAGGCAAACCCCCTCTCCCAGCCTCCAAAACCCAGTCCAGGATCAGCTGCTTTTGGGGGCTGGGTAGAAACAACAGCTGTCTACCACTGTAGATTGGGCAGGAAACCCTGTTGAAATCAAGACCTTGCACTTGGCAGAGATCTGTTACTGCAGAAGGGGCGAGAACATCTTTCCTGCCCTGGAGCACTCACAGTTATGAGATATAGATTAGTTGCCACAGGGGAAAGGGATAGAAACAGCAGGAAAGTCCCATCTCCGAGATTCAGCTGGAACAAAGTTGCCTTATAATGAAGTAGAGGCCCGATGCACATTTGTGCACTGAGAGGACGTCACTCAGCCCAGCCTACAACCCCTCACAGTCCGGGACCAGGGAGCGGGCCTAAGCCGGCAGTCGGACATCCCCTGAGGGTCCTTAGCACTGTTGTGGAGGCAGGAGAGGCTCCCTCCACCGCTGCTGCGCTCGCCAGCCACGAACCCGGCTTCTGGCTGAGCGGTGCTCCCCCTGTGGGAGTGCACTGACTACCAGGGGGCAGCTCCTGTATTGAGCATCTACCCCCAGGTGATCAGTGTGTGTCATAGCAACCGGTCATCCCACCATTCAGTCTATTTGCATATTAGCTTTTTATTATATAGGATTGTTACCAGGAAACCCAAGAGATTCTCTGTCCCCTACCATTAACTTAACACTGAGAAATCATCAAGGTCAATCTACTCGGGGAGAGAGACACCTATTTATAGTGTAGACATGAAGGACTGATGAAAGCTAAGAATACAGCTGAAACACTTAGAAAAACCCTGGGTTCATACTATCACAAAATAGGGAAATTCAAAATTTTTGGTGTACTGAAGATAAATGTCATAGGAGAACCTAAATACAACTCAATACTGTCCAGATTGTCTTAGTGCCTCCCATCCTATCACCCTGGCAGGAAGAGAGGCATGCCCATCTCTGGGTGTGAGCATCATTCATCCCAGTCAGTCCTGTTCTGTAGATATGATTTCTAGCATTAAATAGAATTTATGAAATTTTAAAATAGAATTTATGAGATTTTTTAAAAGATAAGACAATCGATAATGCCAATTGAAGAAATGACCCAGATTGTAGAACTATTACACAAGGAATTTTTCTAAAGCTGTGAATAATATGTTAAAGGATGTAGTAGAAAAAATAAACATGAAAAGGAGAATTTCAGAAGCAGTAGGAAAACTGTAAACACAGGAAAATGGAAATGCTACACATAAAAAAAAGAAAAACAGTATCTGGAAAAAAGAAAATTCTTTCAATCAGTTTATAAGCCAGTAGTGGAGATAAAATGTGGTCATGAAAATATGGG